AGGACTGTGTCTGGAATTACAGATGTAGATAGGAGCAGGCAAGGAGGGCCCCTTTCCTTTGCTCTCAGCTGATGGTCTCACACATTGAAGTGTCACCGGTTTCTTTTCTAACCCCCTGTCAGGGGTGAGGAGGAGGAGGACAGAGTGCAATTAAAAGCAGTGTACGTGGTGAACACCCCAGCGTGGAGTCTGGGAGGCTCTGCCCCCTCCGTGCCCTGCCCTGCTGCCCGTGCTGCCTCTGGCCTGGCCCCTCCTGGGCCCGCCGGCTGTCTGGCCAACAGGCAGCAGCGCAGCCGGGCGTCGGCCGTGCCAAAGCTCCTCTGGGGATTTATTCCTTTCCACACAGGGTGCTGCTGGGAATCGGATGTGCCTTTACAACTTGCAATTACATGGTGCCTCTCATCCCAAAGGACTTTTAATAAGTGAGTCTCCAGACTGCAGAGGGATCGTTCAGCCACCACTGAGAGGCATCCACCGCTGGAAGGCAGCGTCCTTTAACCAGAGCTCAGCAGTGTTCCCCAGCCACTGGGGCCCAAGGGCAGGAAAGAAGGGGCTCCTGTGCTGGATTAACCCTTGGAGAGGGATGGGTTGGCAGAGTGCACAGGCTGGTCTGATTTTGAATCCTGCTGGGATACTAGAGCTCTTGTGAAAGAGGACCAAAGAGTATTAAGCAGAGCTTAGTTTTGTATCCCCTCTGGTGCACAACTCCTTTCTAGGGCGTTGTTGTATCAGGTAACTTCATTTCCCCCTTCCTATGGGGATTGTCATTCCCACAGCTGAAAACACGCTTGGAGCTGTGCTTGCTTTTGCTTTGTCTGAAGGAAACTGTGCTTCTGTAGAATTATGAGTCCAAAATTATTTCACAATCTGTATTTGGGATATCTTCCCAGGCCTAGCAGGGTAAAGGATGAGTTTCTAGGGGGAATGTGGGTTTGTATTAGCAGATTTATCCTTTACCTGTTTATCTATCTTCTTCCTATGTACTTTTTCCTTGCTGAAACATAGAGTTATGTTACAGATGGATTTATGAAGCAGTTGCCCATTTCTTTGTTTTCTGAGGGCTGCTAATGGGATAAAAATTCTATTTTTTTTTTTTTATGGTGTTTAACCTCAGTGGTTGTCTTTGAAGCACCTACTTCCAGTCACTATCTGTACCATCTGTAGGTGTGCTTCTTTGGTATGACTCAGATATGTTTCAAGCCTCGTTGCTTATTTACCACCTGTATTTAATGGTGATAATGGAATTGGTGACTACAGTATGGGTTTGCAAGAGTGTAGGCACGCATATAGGAGGGAATATGTGTGTCCAAGGCAGTCTGTGCATAGTTCCTTGAAACATGTCACCCAATCTAGCTCCCTTAGGAGCTCATTTAACTCAAATGAGGCATGGAATGAGGCAGCATGGTACTGAAACTACCTTCTGCTGCAGGCAGTTGCACGAGCAAGAGATGAGCTGTGCTCCCTTGGATTGTCCACTGGTGGAGCTCGGGCTCTGCTTGAGTTAAGATGTGAGCAGACATTTGTATGAGTGGGGACGGCTCTCCTTGTGATTTCCAAATCAAGGAGGGAGTCTGTGTGTGCGTGGAGGGATGTGGACAAATGGCCAGGGAAGTGCACGTGTCCCGGGGAGGAGCTGAGGCGTGTGAGAACAGGTGGGAGTGTGCAAGTGACTGTGGGGGTGTGTGACAGAACGTGCATCCCAGTACCTCTGCTTTCCTGCTGGCAGCCAAGGGCTTGCCTCTCAGGCTGTTCTCCAGCTGTGTAAATACCGTGCTTAACAAACTGAGGGCTCTGGTTAATGATTGCCATTGGTGCAGGGCCCATATTAGGCTCCATTTTGTGTGAGTTACCCAGCTGCCCGAATGCCATTAGAGTGAACACATCGGCCTCGCACGTCCAGCATGGAGTGTTTGTGCTCCAAGGAACCTCTACAGGAGCTGGCCTGGGGTTGCTCAGCAGGGGCTGACAGGCAGGTTTGTGGAAAGCTCCCCAGAGGCTCTCAGCAGCCACTCTGACAGCCTTCCCCAGTCAAAGAAGTGTCCTGGGCATCACAGGCTGGTGCTGGACACGTGGGGGGAAGGGCAGGCTGGCCAGGAAGGCTGTGCCAGAGAACAGGGAGGCAGCTGGCCCAAGCAGTGGGGTGGGAGGAACGTGTTCCCCCATCTGGCAGCCAGCCCTATCCATCTTCTTTCTGGGAATACATCTACAGAGCTTTGTCTTGTGCCACTCGTCAGAGCCAGACCACCACATGCTGTGATCCCAAATGGTGTCGTGGACTAAGCCAGATCAGGCCTGGTCATCCCTAGAGCTCCCATACAAGCTCCAAACAAAACATGCTCTTCTTCTTTAAGAAGAGAGTGAAGTGATTTGGTGCTGGTGCTCCTTCTTTCCTCCAGCAAGGTCCCTAGCAGAGGTGCTGCCATGTCAGTCATGGAGTTCAGTGCAAGACAGACATGTACTGCTGAGGGCTATAAATGACTGCAGATGGGTCAGGGTGTCCCACAGATGAGGGCAGTTGCACTGCTGCTTCTCCTACTGCTGCCTGCAGTTGGACATGGGGTCCTGCTCACCCTGCCCTCACCTGCTGCTCTGGTGGCTGTGCTGTTGAAAGCCAGCCATGGTCTTGGGGCTGCTTGAGAGGTGCCATGGCAAAGAGGCAGGACTGGGTGCAGTTTGAGCCTTATTTGCAGCTGCCTGACCACCCATGAGTCTCTGCATCCTCCTGTGTCTTCTCAAGTCCCTGTCCTTCACCTCAGCCCTCGTTCTGTGCTCATCTCTCTCACAGTGCCCTGGGAAGACTCTCTACCCAGCTCGTTGGCCCCAGAGAGAAACCCCAGGGTTCCTTCCCACCCAAAGCCTGGTGAGCTTTGTGGATGACTTTTGTCTGTCCTCTGGACCTGTCTTTCTGCAGCCTCTTCTCCATCTGCCAGAAATGAACTGATTCAGCTGCCTTCCCTAATCCTGTCTGGCATTTCAAAATGGAGGGGACTGCCAGGTTCTTTGTTCCCATTCCCTCTTGGCACTGGTAGGGAACCTTCTCTGCTCTGGAGAAGGACAAATGTGCTGATTTATTCTGCCCCATAGCTTTGAATAGGGGTTGCTATGTTACCCTCCAGCTCTGAGGCTTGCCAGAGCACACACCATATATAACCCCACAGCAGGTGGCTATTGAGTAAAGGCCCTTAAATCTGCCTTTCTTGTTTCTTATGCTGCTGGCCAAGGTGTCAGGGGGATGTAGCAGGGCTTGATTTGCTGGCTGAAACTCTAGGCATAGCTGATGCCAAGTGCCATGTTGGCATTTTCCATTCTCCAGTGCCCATCTGAATTTACTGAGGAGGTACCAACTAGGCAGAATGTGCTGCCCACACTGGCTTTCAAAGAGTCCCTTTCTGACATGAAGGTTGCCCCATGGGGCTGAGCTGTGAGCAAGATCCTGGAGGCAGATGTTTCCAGATCCTGCTGCAGTGACTGCAGCAGCTGGGACCTGGCTTGGACACTTCCATAGCTCTCTGTAATTTGGTGTGACTGTTTGGGTAAGCCTGACTATTTGAGCAGCTTTCTGGTAAAAGTTGTGTGTGCTTGTCCTGTGATGACAAGTTAAAACCCAACCAGGATAGAGGCAAGTGGCATCAAAACAGCACCTTGCTATGCTGGTATGAGGTTGCAGCTGTCTGATAGACCTGGTTATGAAGTACCAAAATGAACTTCTGTCTTAGAGGAGACAGCAGAGTCAGTAATGGTTCCTAAAAAGCCTAATTCTTTGAGGAACAGTCCCTTAGTGTAGCCTGAGCAAAGGAAACCATGGGCCTTGCTTGGAAGGACCTAGAAGAGGCAGCGGGAAGACACATAACACCAGAGCCCTGGCCAGATCTCCTCTCACTGGAGTTTTCCTAACGTCCATGAAAACAGTGGTAAAGCCCTTCCCAGGAGTGAGAGGAGGGTAGGGGACATTTGCATGAGTTTCTGAGCTGCTGAAGTTGCCAGCGTGTGGCATTGGGTAGCTCACCTGTTCCCAAGGAACGCACTCTGCAGGATCATGATCAAATATTCTCCTAGGCCTTAGAGCAGTGAGACCACCTTTCCTGGCCAAAATGTGTCTGTGAACAACTGCCCCACTGGTTCTTCACTTGCAAAAGGAAAGAAACAAAATTCCTGAGAAGCAAAAGGAACACACTTGGTATTTAACAGAGCAGAATCATTTGGCACCGTAATTCCTTTGGGTTACCCAGGTCCCAGCACAGCCTGGTGGGGAACAGCATTTCTGGCCTGACACATAGTGCAGGGAGTGCAGGGGTATTTCTGGCCTCCTTACTCTGGATCTGGTCTGACCATGCTCTGAAAACTGGGAGCAAAAGGGGAGAGAATGGTCTTTGGTGGCCATGGTACAAACCAGGCTATATGAAGCCTTCAGGTGGGATCTTTTCCTCTCAGCCATTCCTCACTGAACTGTGGAGACTGGAGCCAGAACACTGGAGAGTTTGTGTGTCTGGAGCTTTATAGATTAAGAAGGAGAGATTTATAAATCCTCACTGGAGACCTGTTGAAAAGTAGGTCTGAAGAATGAGTCTTCAGAGATTAATTTGTTTTATCTCTCTGCTCTAAAAGTGTAGTAGATCCTCCTTCAAGGCCAAGTGAGTGTGAATTGGGCTTTTCCATGTGATACCTTCTGGCAGTAATGCTGTTCTGACTCTGGGACTCTAAATACATCATGGATATCCTATTTCACTTAGTGGCTACAGGTGCCACGGGTCCTGGTCGACCCCAGGAACCTCAGTCCTGGGGCATACATGCTTTTTGTTCTCATGGGGTGGCAGCAAGGACACGAGCAAAGAGCTTCACTACTTACATGAGCACCATTTGCCGTAAGTACAAGCATGACCTCCCATTCAGGGAGGTGTAATCGTACCGTGTGTGTGTGTGACAAAGCACCTGAGGCAAGAACTTCACTCCTGGCTGCTTATTTGAGCACTGACTTGGTCCCTCTTTTTGTTCCCCTGCAGAGCATCAGCGGAGGCCGCCCCCCGCCCCACTTTGTGTACGATCCATCCACCTTTGCCTTCCGTCCCCTCAGCACCTTGAAGCCGCTGAGCCCCATAGCGCCAGTGGAAGAACCGTCATGTGCCTACTGAAGGAGCTCCTCCAAAGTCCTCAGGAACTATCCACCAGCCACCTGCCTGGCAGGGAGAAGGGGAGGTGGCTACCCAAGGGGATGGATGGGTGGGAGAAGAAGAGGACGCATCTTTTCAGTACAGCCTCTCTGGCAGCAGGAAGCACGTGGCTTTGCAGCAGGGTCTGTTTTCGTACCCCTGCTGTGTCTGAACAGTGGCCAAGGGGGAGATTTTTGTCTTTCAGAAGGAAACAAACCAGTTGGATCCACCAACTGCAAGAGCAGCCACCAAAACAGCGCATGCCTGTGGATGCAGACATCAAACACAGGGATGGTGGTAGTTTAAGATACCCCTGAGGAGTTCAGGGGCTAGTGTGGCCTTGATGGCAGCAGTGATAAGTGATCAGGGTGTGAAACCAAGTGCAGTCAGTTTCCCGGGAGTACTTGGGTCTACAGTGCTTTGGTATAGACCTGACCCTTCTCCAACTCAGAAGTGAGCTCAGGTTTGGAGACACAAGCTGTACAGGGCTGCCTGCAAAGCAAGGAAAACCCTCTCTGAGATTGTTACAATTGCATTCACTTCAAGCTTTCTTGAGTGGAAGACCCTAGGAGAGCGAGGTGGGAGGGAGTGACTGGCACATCTAGCTGCATGTCCCAGCTGATCTGCTGCCAACTCAATGGTATTGTCTAAAATGGGATTGAAATGGGAGGTGTGAGTCTCTCACTTGTAGATCAAGGGTTAGAATAAAATTCTGGAATGGAAGGTCTGTGTTCAGGCATCCAAGAAAAGACAGCACCCACCCTCAGCCCTCTCGGGGTCATCAGAGAGAAGAGCTTGGGGGTGACTCTGTGCTCTTGGATCTCCTGTCAGCTGAGGCTGGCTCTTCTGGGATATGCAGCACTTCTCTATAGCCTTGTCCTAATGCCCTCCTGCCCCATCAGGATGATGAAGGTAGCTCGTATCACCAAACTCAACCAAATCTGATGTTTGCAGCAAACTTCCCACTCCTCTATGCTGGCTAGCATAAATTCAGATAGACTTCTTTGATATCAGTGGAACAATATTCCCAGATGAACATGAAGTAGGAGAAAGGGGTCTCTGTTTTGTGTCCACCTGTTGGTGGATGAAACAGGAGTGGAGTTTGGGTGGAGCTGTGGGACATTCCTCCACAGGCCTAAGGCAGTTAGGGCCATTGTTAAGTTAGGCCTTGCTACCACTGGAGTTTGACTAGGATCTGGCCTTGGGGCATGTATATGTTTTGTGCCACAAGGCAACAGCTGATAGAACAAGCTCTTGCATCTCTTGGTGAGGCAGAGGAACTAGGCATTTCCCCTCGCTGCACCTTGTGGAGAGAGCAACATCTTTGGGTGGGTGTTCTCCACCCTGAGCCTCTGTGCAAGGGTGAGCGAGTAGTTTACTACTTCTTGTCTGGATCAGGAGGAGCAACTGTGAGTAATGTAAAATAACTTGTTTTTAAATCAGCTGCAATGTGGAGGTCTTTGGTGCCACTCCTTGGATGAGCCCAATGGCCAGTCCAGCTGCCAGTCCAGGCCACACAGCAAACCAGCATTCTCTGGTACTTTCTGGGCCTTCATTGAGACCCTTGGGGAAAACCCAAAGGCCATGTAGGCATGGGGACCTGAGTGCCCCACCCCTCCCCTCCTCTCTCCTCACCTGTCTCTCACGCAGGCAGAGCAGCTGGGCAAAGCAGTGAGGGGACATTTGTCCTGATGCTGTCCAGCTCTGCCTGCTTTTTGGCTCCAGGCCATGACAGCTGGGCCACCCCCTGCACCAGCACCACCTCCGAGGGGTCCCTTGCATTTGCTGGTGAGGTGCTGCTGGCAGAGCATTGGGGTTCACTGCAAGAAGTCCCTCTTTCCAACAGAAGCTGATTCCTCCTGCCCCTGTAGAGACTCTGCTTATCTTGTTTTGCTGGCACACCTCAGCTTTCTAACTGCTGCCAGATGAAGCTGACCAGTGCAGGACAGGAGGCGTCTCCCCTTCAGGCCCAACCCCGTGCTCAGGAGCAGGGGCAGCTGTAGCCTGGTACCTGTGTGAAGAGGCATGGCCCCGTGCAGAGGGCTGGGGTGTGACAGCCCTTGCATGGCCCCCTGTCCCCAGGCTTGGCTCCTGAGAGCTGCTGAGGTGCTGGCCCCAGAGATGTGTTCCTGCCAGCCTGGCTGTGGCAGGCTGCCTTCCTTGGGGGGAAACAGGCAAGGGGGGGTGTCCTGCCCATATTGTTGCCTTTTAGTACTTTTGTAACTTTGCTCTCTTCTTTTTTTTTCAATCAGAAGGAAAAAATAAATAAAAAAACTCAAATAAAATGTAACAGCTGCTATATTCATACCTCTGGTGGTCCTTGTGCATTCACCACGTTCTGGGTGTTTGTGGGGAGGTGCAGAGGAGGTGGTGGAGCAAAGGGAGCTGTGGCACAGCACCACCAGGACCAGACACTCCTAAAACCTGGGCTCTGTCTGCAAGTGCAGGGCTTTGAAAACAAACAAGCTTTTCTAAAATAAATGTCAGGTTCTTTGTATGTAAAAGGAGCTCCCCATGCAGCTGCTCCCTTTGCAACTAGCCCCGATACCCACTGGTGCTTCTCTCACCAAGAAGGTGCTTTGGCTTTTGAGTAACCTGCTTATTGCTTGGGAGTTGAATGTGACCTGGACAGAGGCCTCCATCCCTCCAAAACAGAAGTGGCCACACAGCTGGTCTTTCACTTACAATTTTAGCCTCAGTGAGTCTTGCATCTCTACCCCAAGATACTCAGCAGCCCTTGGGCTTGCAGCCAGAGCACTTGTGCTTCTCTGTAGCACAACTCCAGCTCACCACTTACCTCGGGATCTTGCTTGAAAGACTCTATCTTAGGTACTTGGAATGTGCATTCCCTGCCATTGGCTATCTCCTTGAGCTAATTTTTGTCTCCCCCACACTCCTAGCTCTAGATCTGAACCAGCATCTCACAAGGCCATTACCCATGTCCCCTTTTCTAAGGCCCCCTGAGAGATACTGCCTTAAATTTCCTTAGCAGCCCTACTTAAACTCATTCCCAGGGGGGCTTTTCTGCTCTTTCCTCCAAGTTCTGATCCCCTCTAGGCTTCCTGCCATCTCTCTTATCCTGAAATCCTCCCCTCTCTGTCAGCTGCAGCTCATTGTTAATTGGCCTTGGCCCATCTTGCAAGGGCTGTAAGGTGGATGAGCTGCCCCCCCAGCCCTTTGCTCTTCTTCCTCCTGCACAGAATTGCCTTTCTCTGTGATGTTCCTTCCAAAGCAGCTTGATTGCTCAGCACACCTACCTTTGGGGCCCTAGGTGCCTTCCAAAAACACAATGCCTGCTGCTGTGGCTTCACAAAGCAGAATTATCTGTAGGCTTCTGCCAGGGCGAGGCTGTTGGTAAGTGTGTAAATGGGCAGAGGGGCTGGGGTGACCTTGGATCAGCCGGACTGCGGGTGTGGGCACAGGCGGCGGGAGGGTGGAAAGCTGGCACAAAGCCTTGCAGCCTGCAGTCCACGAAGTGCCTGGGCTGCCCTGGGCTGTAGAGCTGCTTCTGCTGACCCCAGCACTGTAGGCTGGGCCCCTGGCTTGTGTTAGGGTTGAGTTCAACTGAGCCTGCTCCTCATCTCTACCTGAAACCTGTGTCCCCAAGTTAACGATGAAACATTCAGTTTTGTGGTAAAATGTGATAAGCCTTGAGATGGCAACAACTCTGAAGCTAGAAGCAGGTTAGTGGTAATCATGAAGGGCTTGTGGAGTAATTTTCAGCTGTAGTTACCAGTGTAGCTGGCAAAGGAGGCTAAGGATGGCCTCCTTTGGATGCCAGACCCATGCCATGGGGGAAGAGCTTGCTAAAGACCACTGTGGAAGCCACCAGCAGAACCCAGGGAAATGAGTCCTGAGCTGTGCTCTTCTGAAGGCTGTTCCTTGCTGTAGCTACTGCACCACATTGCTGGCTCTGGTGCACATCTGTCTGGGGCCGTTCACCTCTGTGGCTTCCAAAACACCTTGTGAAACACCCTTTCTGCTGCTGGAGTGGGCAGGGTGCTGGCTGGGCTGCGAGCAAAGCCCTTTGAGAGCGTGCTCAGCTTGGTGCAGGTCCCTCGGACCCCCTGCTTTGCTGGAGCTCCCACTCCAGAGTTAGTCCCCCCAACAGGTTTGCATTGTGGCTTGGTGGGGGAGCCTGTAACTTCTAAGCTGAGATCTCTGCTCTGAGGTGATGTTGTTTGGAGATGTGCAGGTGTTTCCCTTCAGAGCAGAAAGCAAGCCCTGTGAAGAGAGGAGGACCGTTGTGCCAATGTGCAGCCTGGGCGTGCTGAGCTCAGCTGTGTTAACCACCTGCAGGAGGCTGAGGGGGGGTAGGCAGCTGCTTGAGGAGCTTGGCCTCGGCTTCTCTGTGATTTAAATAGGACAGTTTAGGCTAATACTGTTCTCCAATTAAACTAAATTAATTAGGTTAATGCTACAGCCTTATCAAAACAGCAGAGGGGAACCCAGCTCACAGCAGTGGCAGAGAGTTGTCACATGTGTAGCCTGAGACTGAGTCCCTTTGCTCAGCACACAAGACCAGCTCATCTTGTGTTGTCCAAACATTTTCTTACACATCTATATGTATCCACGTGCACGCACATGATGTGTATACTTCTGTCTGTATGCCTTATTTGTGCAGAAACCTCTGTACTCTTCCAGTCACCCACAAGCAGAGTTCCTGGTGCTCACCCTTTGTTTGACAGGGCTCGACGTGAAGCCCACCTGTGGCACACTCACCATCTGTGTGCTGCAAACCACGACCATGCTTGGAGAACACACCTGAGTGTTGACCTATTTGCTTACCCAGCAGCTGGGCTAGGAAAATGGGCAAAACCAGCAGCACTGCTGGGGCCAGGGTTCTCACCCCAGGCTAGATGGAGGGCACTGAAACACAGCTTGGCACCGACACAACAAAGAAGCAGAATTTCCAGCTGGACAGACCATCTCCTCCAGGCAATTTAGGGTTTTCCCTGGCTCTTTCTGAAGCTGTGTAGCAT